AATTTAAGGACATTTTAGTCCAAAAAGCCGGTAATGTTACAATACCTAAGGGAAGGGAGGTAATGACATTCTCGGTAATATACCCCAAAAAATCCACTATTGGTAATAAAACATTACCGGGAATGACATTCCCGGCCAAACCAAACGGGGAATGTGGATTAGGGCAATGAGTGTGAAGCATCTTTAACAAACTAATAGCTAATAAGGAAAAGTAAACAAGTCGAAAAGTCCGCATGCAAATTATATTAGCCAGTGTGAAATGAAATCATGTGCAATCATATTTCCTTACCCCATTCTCGGTGGAACCTTATGGCCAGCTGAGTAACCGATCTTCTTTCAGCAGGGTTAGAAAGCTCCATGTTCATTGCCTCCTGAATTGCAGATAAAATCTCCCTTCTCACTTTAGCAGAGGGAATTAGGAGACTTGGTCCATGGATAGCACTCAAATCAACCACCTAAAAAACAAAGATCAACAGATGGTTAAACTATTGCTTGAAAACATGGAGATTTTATATAAAAAATGAGCGATAAACAAACTGCAAGGCTCGAGATAAGACCCATTCAAATTATATCAAAGAACTAGAGCACTTACATATCAGACAGCTTTATGATTTTTCAAAGTATGTTGATTTGAACTCTCAAAATTGTTAAAAATCATCTTTGATGCATGGTTCATGGTATTTCTTACAGTAACTCAGAACACTGAAATTGGTTTGAGACATCAAGAGACGTTTTTTTTGTCAGAGTTGTGAGCGTTCAATGTCAAATAATTGAGAGTTTGAAAAATTATTAGATGAATTTGACTCGTCACGTCGTATATGGTCCAAACTAATAACATTTGTTCATCCCATATTTTTAAGGTGAATAAGGAATGATAGCTATTTCAAAGTTATTTTAAAATTAATAGATCATAGATGACGTGACGAGCCAGTTCATGAACTAATTTCTAGTCGAGTCGGATTAGATTTTCAGTTAATTAAATCCGATTTAATAAAGAAGAATGCCAAAAATAGTCCTCAACGTTTATAAAAAATGATCATTTTGTCTCCTATTTTTTTTAGCATTTTAGCCCCTAACATTCCAATTTGAGATAAAAATGCTCCCTCTATATATGAAACCATTAGTTAACACGTGATTAACTATCCAAAATAGGAGTATTTTTTAACACAAGATGAAACATTGAGGGCTAAAATGCCCCATAAAAAAGAATAAGGAACAAAATAATTATTCTGTCAAATGTAAAGGACATTTTTCACTTAAAATGAAACGTTGGGGCCAAAATGTTTCAAAAGATAGAATATGGGACATAATGACCATTTCGATAAATATTGGGAGGTAATTTTAATATTATGCCTTTAATAAAATACACCCTCCACACGAAACGCACATACGTGTGTTGAGTCAAGTTTAGTTTTAAAATTAGGGTAAAGTATAGTAATGGTCACTAAACATTTCTAAAGCTTGCATTTAGGTCCCCTAACTTTTAAAACTTGCAATACAGTCCCCCAACATTTATTCCGTTTACAATATGGTCCCTCAACTTAAACCATTGTTAGAAAATTAGGGTAAATTATATAAACGGTCATTGAACTTTTCAGGCACTTGAATTTAAGTCTCCCAACTTTTAAAACAGTCATCAATTTCATTTTAAACCCCAATTTCCAAAGTAATTCAATTTCATTCTAAACCCTAATTTCCAAAGTAATTCAATTTCATTCTAAACCCTAAATTCCAAAATAATTCAATTAAATTTTAAACCCCAAATTCTAAAATACTTTAATTTAAGGTTTAGAATGTAATTGAATTATTTTGGAATTTAGGGTTTAGAATGAAATTAAGGTGTTTTGAAATTTTGAACATGAATTTACTATTTGAAAATATTTATTTCAATATAAATTTGAGGTTTGTTTAACTATCTATATCAATTTTGAATAACAATATGCACTGATTAAACATCCCGAATAGCAAAATGGAAGCACTCTATTCGGTATTTCAACTTCAATACCTTCCCATAAACTCTGCTCATTTCTTCAACTTTTGACTATATGAAATTCGGAACACTCATTTAGAGCATTATGATTTAAGTACCACTATGTTCTTGCATACTATTTTTTTTTATCAGATTTGAGTACCTAACCCTTCAGTGCTTTACAGTGCGATCATTTATGATTCACCTGAATTTGCTCATACAGTGATCATTTATGATTTAGTAGAATCAATGGTTTAGAATGAAATTGAATTACTTTGGAAATTGAGGTTTATAATGAAATTGAGGATTGTTTTACAAGTTTTAAAAGTTGAGAGACCTAAATTTAAGTGTCTGAAAAGTTCAATGACCGTTTATATAATTTACTCTAATTTTCTAATAGTGGTTTAAGTTGGGGGATAATATTGCAAACGGAATAAATATTGAGGGACTGTATTGCAAGTTTTAAAAGTTGGAGACCTAAATGCAAGCTTCAGAAATGTTCAGTGATCTTTACTATACTTTACCCTTAAAATTATTACTTTTATTCTACACATGTAATCAAAAGAAAATCAAGAGTAAACTACACATGTAATGCCTAAACTATTACTTTTATTCTATTTTAGTATCTAAACTTTATTTTTTTTAAATTATACTTAAAGTTTAGTTTAGATTTAATTTCGATACTCCACCATTAAGAACTTAACAATGATGGTGACACAGCAATATCATCGTTAATTTTTTAATCGTAGGTGACCGAAACGGAACCAAAACATAACATTATGTATAATTTTGAAAAAAATAGAAAAATAACCAAAATAAAAACGAATTAATAGTTGAATGATTAAATACTTAGTTTACCCCATTTAGTAACACCGACAGTAAATATTGTGACGAAAGAAACGTCACTATCGTGTAATTTCATAGTTACATGTCTTGTTTATAAATTAGTCACAAATCTTTTGTCAATATAAATTAATTTTTTTGCATACGATTAATAGATAAAAATATACATCATTATGAAAGATGCATTTTAATTTTTTTTTAAATAATTGTATAAAAATGTTGTCACTTTGTCATTTTCAAAATAAGAGTTGACAAAATTATATTATTTTAAGGTAAATAAATTGACTAAAATGTATTGAAAATTAACGTTCTAATAATATATATAATAAAAAACAAATAGTTCATAGATATAAAAATATTTAAGTGAAAGTCAAAGTTAGAAGCCAATGAATTGATCCAACAAAGTTCATACTTTAGCATTGGCATAATACCAAAATTAGCCTCAACATTTATCAAAATAGTCATTTTGACCTCTATTCTTTTTTTTGAGCATTTTGGCCCCAATGTTTCACTTTGGGACAAAAAGCCCCCTCTATAGTTGAAAGTATTTAGTTAACGCAAGATTAACGCTCTAAAATAGGGGTCTTTTTAACCTAAAATAAACTATTGAGGGTTGAAATGCTCCAGGAACCAAAATGACCCAAAATAAGGGTCAAAGTGATTATTCTATCAAATGTTAGGATCTTTTTTCCCTAAAATTAAAAGTTAGGGCCAAAATGTTCCAAAAAATATAATAGGAACCAAAATGACCATTTTAATAAAAATTGGGGCTAATTCTGGTATTATGCCTTTAGCATTTCCCTTAAAATAATATTGATTATTCTAATTCATTTATAAAATATATTCTCCTCTAACTTAAGTTCCCTTTTTTGTATTAACATGAATTGGATCCTTACTTAGTGTTGATTAATTTTTTGATATGTTAAATTAAAGTTTACATATGAAAAGTGCGCATTAGTAACTTGGCTTTTTTTACTAAATTTAAAATTTATTTTTTCAAATGAAGTTTATATTCGGATCCGGATATTTGATCCGAACTTTCGGATATTCAGTTTTTTCGGATCGGATATGGATCACATTTTTAGTAATTCGAATTTTTTGGATATCCAAAAGTTTGGATCGGATAATATCCAAATAAAAAAAATACACACCCTAATTTAGGTACTAAAACAACAAAAAATTATAGTTTATGCACTAAACATATTAAGTTTTTAACGGCATGGTACTAAAATGAAATAAAAACCAAAAGTTAATATGATTTTTTAAAAAAATCAAAAGTTTAAGTATTATAACAGACTAAAATTGATAATTTAAGTACTAAATACGTAATTTACTCAAAAATATAATATTAGATTGGGACCAAATTTTATAATAATTCACCTCAAGATATAAAAAAACAATGTATATATATAATATTATTTAACACAAAAATTGTCACTATAAATTACTTGAGAGTTTCTACTCTTCATTTCCTTACTCTACCGATCTCCTTTTTTTTCCCCTTATCTTCTTCATTTACTTCCTCGAATTTATTCTTCTTTTTTACTTTTATTTTTCTTTATATCATACAAACTCTCTCTCTCTATATTTGTCTCTGTACTTTATTTCAATGTTAAAATTTTCTTTATATCAACTAGACTTATATAAGGGTAAATCACACGTTTAGTATTTTAAATATCAGTTTTGATCTATTTTAATACCTAAATTCTCTTTTTTTTTAAAAAAAAACTATGCCTAAAGTTTAATGTTTGTTCATTTTAATACCCCACAATTAAAAACTTTAGTTTTTATTTCATTTTAATACCACCGCTCAAAATTTAACATTATGTTTCGAGAAAATGGGAGTAGGTACTAAAACGGTCAAACCTGATAGTTTAGATACTAAACGTGTTAAGTTTTAAATGAGAGACATTAAAATGAAAGAAAACTAAATATTAAATATGATTTTGAAGTAAAAAAAAAAAAAATTACGTACTAAAACGAGCCAAAACTGATAGTTTTGGTGCTAAATACATAGTTTACTCTTGATATAATTACATTTGATACGCACATAAAATTTTAAATTAATACGATATCTCTGTTATATTGATCAAGATTTCTATATTTAAAACAGTAAAAAGTTTTTTTTTACGTGGAACAAATAATTGAAACGATTTCACTCTCGAAAATGGTAAGTATCTGAGTGTGATGTGAATAAATAAGCTCGTTTATAACTAAAAAATATTTGACAGTAAAAAAAAAATTACATGCATTCCCTTCCATCTACAATTCTAGCCATGTATGGGAAATTCAGGGGTGAAATCATGTACCCATTTTGCAGGGAACTCTGCATTTGTTACACAACTTACCAAACAGTTGCACATTGAACACTTCAAAATTGTGAATTACCGAGGAAGGTAACCATGCATCTTGTTTGTTGAAACATCGTATCGATCTTCTGCCATACGTCGGTTTGGATTTCAAGGAGCTTCTTTGCTTCGTGTAGGAATTCCGGACGGCGTCGTATCGTTTCGCCATGAATCTGGGGAAATATGGTATAGACAATTACATCAATGAAAAGTCACCATTAAGAACTCTTGGCGTTAACAGAAGAAAACAAGAATGAACACTAGAGAAGATACATCGGCCAATAGTCAATCAAAGAAAACGTATATTAAAGCCTTTTATTTTTTCCTAGGCTTGTAAAGTTCGATGTTTTGAGTTTGGGTCATTTTGGTTTCGGGTTTATTCCAGGTTTAGGTCATTCTAGACATTTCTTATCCGGACATATTTGAGTTATGTTAGGTAAGTTTGGGCTGGTTCTTTTGGGTTCGGGTCAGAATCGGGACATCTACAAACCCGATGGTCTATTGACAAAAAGTATTGTTAACCATAAAATGAAAATCCTTTAAATAAGGTAAGAGAATAATACCTTCAGAAATAACCTGATAACAGCTTGTATGAACTCAAAGTTGTTCCTGTAGGATAGCTCAGAAACAAAATAATCCAACAACAGTTCGATTGAGATCATCTCAGGTTTCCTATCAAGCTCTTCGAGATTCTCATCGTCAATGATCTGAAGCATCCGGAGCTCCATGTCCAAGGCCGAAGGAGACAAGGCTTTAATATAATCAGTAAATGCAGAAACTGCAACATGTTAAGGCACACAAATATCAGCTGCAAAGACGTTGACCCCGGATATTCGATAAAGTTCAAAATGGAATTTACAGTTTTTTATCTCCGCAGAGGACTGAAGAAGTTGCAAAAATGCAGATGGCGGCATGTCAAGTTTCCTATCGTTATTTTCCGCTTTGTTGCCTTTTGCATCATTATTCCCATTAGCTTCACTAGGCATAAATAATATCTCCCCAGAAAGAGATGAAGCTGAAGGTAGGAAGAAAGGAGCCTTCTCGGGTTTCTTGGGAGGTTCAATTGGTTTGTTGCGAACCTGCAATTATAATGCAATTACGGCGTCGATCTTTACAGAAAGTCTAACTAACTGCTTGAAATAAAAGAAAGTGTAAAGAGTAACCTTTATAATGTCTAAATTGATCAAGCTTTGCCATTGGCTTTTTGGCAATAGTGAGAGAGTAACTAGCTCTGGAATCTGCTTAATGAATGTTGCAGAGACAGAAGCATCTTTCGGAACTGAGTTGTCTGTAACGGGTTCATCAGAATCCTCAAGTTGTGATCCATCCACAGATGAGATGGATGGCAATCTGATGTTTACAACTTCCTTTCCACTTGCAAAAGAATCCACATTTGGAGCTCCCGAGAAGATTGACCGGTTAACCCTGATTAAGATCACCATCCAACTAGTTTTGCTTACAAAGAATTAAAATCAAAGTGTAGTTACGTGGATCATCTGCTTGTAGTACACTTATGACCAAAATACATGATATTTATCATCGCCGTGTTCTAGTTTAGAAAAATTATTGTTCATGTTGTTTACCAAGGAGTAATTCATCAAACTAAGTTTCGTATTCAGGTTTTCCAGCTATTTAGAGCGAAAAGAAGATCACAAAGATAAATAGACCTAATAGCTACACTTCTTTGGCCCATAAGGTAAAGGTGAGACAATTGAAAACTTACCACAGATAAACCCCGTTCTGATCAACATGGGTAGTTGCTAAAACATCCATATTTGGTGACAAGGACAATGCTGAGATAGCTACATCGACATGAATAGCATCAATTTGTCTCGCTAAGATAACATCCCAAATTCTAAGGCTCCCATCCATGCCGGATGATAGAAGCCATTTGCCATCCTCACTGAAACATAAATCAGTAATACGGTCTGTATGGCCTTCAAATTTACGAACCATTCTTGATGCCACAACATCATACACACGAATAACAAAATCATCTGTTACTGTGGCCAAAAGACCTGCCAAAAAGTAAAAGCAGTAGATAAATATATGTTTGAAGACGTTAAAAGACTAAGAAAAAGAGACAGGTATACCATAGAGAAGCAGGAGTACATACTCAATGACACAAACACAGAAAAAACCAAGGTTCAAGGCTGATAACAACAAATACCAAAAGAAACACTCACCATTAAGGCGATTGTAAACAATCTTAACCACAGCACATCCAATTTCCCATCTAGACTTTATGTAGCGTCCCTTGAAATCCCATACCTACACAAAAATCATTAAAAAAAATTCACTTTGTTCTGCATGCTTAAAAGTAAATATTATAAATCAAGTTATCATCAGCCCGTCTCACTACTGACTGGAAAATATTTTTTAGTAAAACATAAATCAAGGTGGAAAGATTTAACAAGGTATTTACAGCTATATCCTACAAAGGAATGTCAAAAGCTATAATCACATATTACTCTTAGAGGTCTGTGTTAAGAATAGTAAAATAGAACATGTATCAGGGAAAGAATATACCTTAATGTCTCCGTGATACCCTGCACTTATCATCAAGGTATTTGTAGAATCACATGCAACTCCAATGACTTCTCCATCATGAGCACTTTCTTTCGGCCTGTCCAGATAACTACCTCGACTTATTCCAGATTGGAGATTGAATATCTCAATCCAACCACCTGCCGTCCCTAAAATAGCAAAATTACCACAAGCACTAATTGCACAGGCCTGTAACCAGAAGGAAAAAAATCATCAGTTACAATTAATATAGTTCAAGAAATACTAGTTCATAGCAGGGCTTTCTCATATTTGAATAGTTTAAATATCAGTAGTATTTTCTGTTTAATGTTTTAAATGAAGAGGAATACTTATGCCATCTAGGCTATATTCTATAAATACAAGAGCATTGAAAGTATTCACTGCATTTGGAGCAGGAAAATACAAATATTAATACATAAAACTTATGGAAATAAACAAAAACTAAATGGTAGGAATTAGATTGAGCATAACCTTCACAGGTGTGGGATCTTCAGGATATGGTCTCAGAATATGCTCACCAATGACAAAATTTTGAAGTCTCCACACATATGCCTGTTCAGTATCCATATGGCATGTAACCACATTGCACCAATCTCGTTCCCTGATTTCAGCTGTTTTTAATGAAAGAGAGAGAGCAACAGCAAAACTTAAATCACTTTGACAAAACCAAAAAAAAAACTTATTTAAATGATGAAAGAGCATATAGCAGAAGATACCACAATCAAATGCGATAACAGGCTTTAATTTTAGTTCCTCCTCCTGAAATTAAAAACATGAAACTAAGCTGAAGAAAGAATTCACTCAACAAAAAATTGAAACAGTTGCAGAAGAAATTAGTAATTTCGCAGACAAAAGTATTGAGGTATCCATGCTAACTTAGCCAGAAAAGTACCAACATTTCACCCAGGCCATACCTTCATTCTTAGTTTCTTGGCTCGCTTAGATATGTGACCTTGTGACAGCTCTCTGCTTTGCTGATCCTGATCACAACAGAGTAGACAAGTTTTTACCAACAAGAAAATTATATTAATTGTCACGTAGATGTATATATAGAAATCCATGGATGGAGGGTTAGAATAAGAGCAAACCATAAGAAGTATACCCAAGAACCAAAGCTATTTTCAAATTGCAGATTAGATAAAGGATTTTATCAGTTCTTAGAATCAGAAAAAAGGGGTTTATATCACATTCAAGTCCAGCTCTAGTTCAGACAATTATATCAATCAGAAAGAACTGAACATTGTACTAAACAAGCATGGAACATTATAAAGAGGTCAAGGGGTAGGTGTTATCTACTTAAATACATCATTGCCACCAAACAATACACAGAAACTGCAAACTTTTTGATAAAAAAAAGGTCCCATTGGGGTGAATATAAGTTTAAACAATGGTCAATCAGAAACATCATGCATATCAAAATTCATTAAGAAAAACAAAATTCCTGATTATAGATGCCAAACCTGGATGGTAGAGAAAAGGCGAAAAGCACGATCTTGGCCAGCAGACAGGATATGCCTTCCATTGGCATAGAACCTGCCAAAGCGGGTAAAATTCCAATTAGTTATTCCATGAGCAAAATGATCTCTCCAAGAATTTTTTTTGAAATAACTGAATCACGGGCTAGATAGAAATTGAGTACACTTAGTATTCAAATTTCAGAGGTCATATGGCCAAGTACTACAAGATGATTTAGCAGGTACCGTTCTTGAATTGTATTAACCTTATTCATATTAACATTCTAATACACTTATAATTGTTAAAAATGTTAGGGGTGAAATGAATATGTAGACTGTTGCACATGATTAAATTGTATGGAGTGCTATTACCTGATGCAAAGTGGAGGAGCACTGTGTCCACTTCGAAACCGCAAGATACGAGGATCTCCATCACTTGTGTCAAAGATCCACATCTGTGAAAGCAAAAAAATATATATCAGAAGTGCATTTCCCAGTATTATAAATGAGCATGAGCAGCATAAACCACAGTGCAAAGACTGATAATCACCACACCGATCTGAAAAGAGAAAAAAGAATACAGCAAGCATGCACAGAACCTCTTGTTTAGGAAGGGGGAGAATCAGACTTAGCAATATGCACAGGATAGATTAATGTAAGGTCAAATTTTAAATAAACCACAACATAGTTCATGCCATAGTTCTAAAACATTGAATATGATACAATATAGTTTCAAATCTCAAATATTTTTATCATCACTCATGATACAAAACAACTAACTGTATTTGCAGCATGTTCACTCACTTTAACCACTTAAAACTTTATAGACATAAAAATTTCAGCAAAAAACTAGTAAGGGAAAAAGATTAATACTACTTTAATCATACCTTAATTGAGTTGTCAGCCGATGAACTCATTAATACAGGCTCATTAGCAAAAAAGTGAAGTGAAATAATTGAACTCTCATGAGCCTCTCTTATGACTGTTTGAAGCCTTCTCTTCTCAAGATTCCATATGCTTATTACGCCAGAAGAACCTCCGGATGCTAGAAGGGGCTGTCCATCTGCAGAATATAGGGCATCAGTATAATTATGCTTAGTGATGGCTTGAGGAATCAGATATTTCTCTAATAGAAAATACTTGGCAAAAGCCCTATTGTAATTTAAAATTAAAGTTATTGAGTCTAAGTGACTTCAGCTTGAGTATCTGGATTATTTTTTGAGCTTCCAAATCCAAGCAGAAGAAAATAAAGCTTGACCAAGCTCAAGTCCACCGCGTGCTGGCTTGAATCAATTACCCCTACTATAGCCTTAGCAAATTCCAACATATCAACAGAAAATGCAAGCTCAAGATCAAGCAAGGCGCTCAAAAAAGGTCCATAATGAAAATACCTGTGCTGAAAGATAAGGCAGTGGCAGTGCCTCTTGCAGAATGTTTAAATGTTACAACTTCTTCATCATAACGTATATTATGAACATGAATTGTTCCATCAGCACAACCAACAGCAATAACATCTAGTGCAGGTGATGAAACACAACTGCAGACACCCAAATTCCATCCCTTGAATTCATAAAGTTTCTTTTTTGTGCTGATGTTCCAAAGCTGCAAAGAACCCTCCTGGCTCCCAACAAGAACCTGTTCAAACTCTTCTTAGTTCTACAAGTACATTTATCATAACACTTAAAATTCACCTATTACCATATTAGCAACAAAGCGGGGAATGTTACCTTGTTTAAGTAAGTATCTGGATGCATTATACAAGTAGGAGTGAATTTGGCATCTAGCTTGATATGTCCAATTGGAGCAGAATTCTCATCAATTCCTTTAAACGACCATATGAAAACATTACCATCAGCATCTACGCTTAGAATGTGATCCCCGAATAAAAGTAATAAGTTGACTTTAGCACTGTGCCTACTCCAATTTGCTACCTGCACAATTGCACATGCATTAATTTTGCGACCAAAATCCAAAAGAACAATTTCAAGGGGAAAAACCAGTTCTACATGAATAATACAAGACAGTGAGAAATAAATAAAAGACCAAAGATAAACCTGGTGAGCTCGTTTAAACACGGCAATATCTGTCCCATACGCGGCAAACGTGTAATCACGGTACGAAGCAAGAGCTCGAATCTTCTTGGATAATTGAGGACCTACATGAACAGAATTAGGAGAAAACCAGCTTTTAACCAAAAACTGAAATTAACCAAAAAAAAAACACTCACCAATTAGCACCAGATTGAGCTTGGAGCACTGCAAAAGGAAGCTGAAAGTGAGAAGATGAACAATTTCAACATTTTAGAAAGCAAAAACAGAGAAGGAAAGATTAGTACTGACGTTGTAAATCTGAAAAGCTTTGCCAACGGTGACAGTGACGAAAGTTTCGGTGCCCAATCGCTGAACGGAGAAAGGAACTCCGCTTGTTATGTATCCTATTGCTCTGTATGCCTCAAATATCCCCATTTCTTTTGCTCTCTGTTCTCTTTCCTTTCACTTCAACTGAATGAAAAATCCTCTTCTGGTTTTAGTTTAAAAGCGAGGCCGGCGGAGGGTTTAGGGTTTTGGCCTTTTTGGGTGCGGAGTTAAAAGGTTTAATTCAAATATAGCTGCCTAAGCTATACCTTTTATTTAATTTAGGTACCTAAATTTGTTTCACTCAAAATAAATGTTTAATTTTTCTAAGTTACCATTTTAAAATAAATTTCACTATATACATTAGAAAAATTATTAAAAATTATTAAAAATCAGTTATCAACGTTGACATGTAATCTATTTTTTAATTTGTCTGAATTTTTAAAAAAATAAATTTTATATATTATTGAAAAAATCTTAATTTCCGTATTTTCAGATGATGAAGAGTGTGTTGACGATAGAGAGAAAAACGTGTGTTGGTAAATTAGGAGTGTGTTGACGATGAAGTGTGCCGAAGAATCTAACTAACAACGAGTTTCAGATGGAAGAGGAAGGGACAACTATATGGAGAATGAATTATAGATTATGAATTTAGATATTAAGGATTTAGAGATTTAAGGATTTGAGTATATGAATTTAAGATTGGGATGACATCAAGGTGGATGGCCGACAATGAAGATTTAATGGGTTGGGGTTCAATAACGGTGGTGGCAATCACTAACAGTAATGAATCGATTAATGAGTTTAGTGAGATGAGACACTTAATCATTTAAGTAAGATCAAATGTTTAGATTTTGATGTTGTGAATGAAGAAAAATGAGTTTGATTATCGATCAATGAATTGATTACTAATGATTATACCAAAAATTAATAATAAAATTTTCAATTATTAATTTTTCTGAACAAAACCGATAGGTCTCATTAAAAACCTCTTATAAACCTAACAAAGGGAAAAAGTGCCCAACTACCATAAATCAAGAATTCAATACATCAGACATAATGTCACTGGAAATTATCTCGGGATAAACCAAGTCAAAAAATAAAGAACCACTAGTTCTAATTGCCCAACTAGTTAACTTAGAAACGGTATTACAAGAACGAGGCCCAACGAGAACCAATTATTAATTGGTTTAGTATGATGAGACACTCGATAATTTTTTTTTTTGATAATTTGATTTTATTACCCAAAGAAAGAGCAAATACCAATACAACTGCAGAAAGCAAATAAAAAATAAACAACACCCTACAAGCAACCTAAGCAAAACAACTCAAGAAGGACAACTAAAAGAGAAGCAAACAACAAGTAGTAAATAGCAAAACAGAAAACAGCAAAATTAGAAAAGGAAAACAACCCGCAAACAACCACCACAAAGGGACCTCTCGCATGTCTACAGGCAAGAGACCAACAGATCAGAAGCAAACATCAAGCTAGCCGATGTTCCAGTCAAGGCAAAGTTGAGAATTAACCCTATCAGCTTTGTTAACGCTACAATCATGCAACTTAACGATGACTATCCGTTTGATAACCTCAAAAACCTCATCAATCGCCCGAAAGCAGCCTCTAAAGTGTCTGAGATTACGTTCTTCCCAGACAAAGTACAGAAGACTAGTCCAAGCTAGCTTCAGAATGCAGACCAGCAAGGATTTCCCTTTAAGATTGCTGGCAGCCCAGACCAAGGTATCATCCCAACACAGCACCCTATAGGGAATTCTGCAAGTCTGCAGAATTTTACTCCAGAGACCAACAACAAAAATGCAATCATTAAACAGATGATCCATGCTTTCCACACCATCACTACAAAGCTCACAACACCCATCTAACTCAATCCCCATATGGATAAACCTATCCTTAGTTGGCAAGCGATTCAAAAAAACCATCCAAGCAACAATAGACATTCTAGGGATACGAAGAGGAAACCAAAGTAAGTGTTCCCAAATGACCTTCTCTCTCTTGTCCCTCAACTTCTCCCACACCCAATAACCTTTAACCAAATTCCAGTCAACTACACTGTCAAATAAGCTAGTAGCCTCTATTCTAAGCTTAAACAGCTTCCTTAAGATCCAGCTGAACTGAGGCTTATAACCAGCTGCCAAAAAAGAAGCCCCCTTAAGGCATATTCATTAACCCAGGCCACCCAGAGGGACCCATCATTTGCAAGGATATTTCTGATCAGCAAAAAACAACAAACCTTGTTCCAGCAACCCAGACTTTTAAGGCCTAAACCACCTTCAGACTTCAGCAAACAGACTTGCTTCCAGCTAACTCTAGCCCCCTTGACAGGAGTATCATCCCCCTTCCAGAAGAACGCATACAAAGTTGCTCAACCTGCCTAATGACATCACTAGGCAATACCAACTGCCTGCACCAGTAATTGGAAATACTGAATAAAACAGATTGGATAAGCTGCATTATGCCACCATAACTCAGCCTCAGCTTGGACCACAAAGATAACTTACTTCTAATCTTATCAACCAAAGGAAGACAGTCTTTAGCAGTAAGTTTCCTGGTAACTAATGGCACACCAAGGTACCTAACAGGGAACTTACCCAAATTAAATCCAGTAATAGCCTGCACTCTTCTCAAAACATCCTCATGTACACCACAAGAGAACAACCCAGTTTTTCCAGCATTTAACTGCAGCCCAGACAACTCATAAAAGGCCTCAAGAACACTAACAACACCCAAAATAGAAGTCTCAGTCCCATGACAAAAAATTAACAAGTCATCAGCAAAGCTGAGGTGGGTGAGAGAACACACTTACATTTAGGGTGAAACCGGATAAGCCCATCCTTGGCAGTAGTATTTAGCAAGTGGGACAACACATTCATAATAAGAACAAAGAGATAAGGGGACAGTGGGTCACCCTATCTAATTCCCCTCTTCCCTTTAAAAAAACCCACTAAACTACCATTAAATGCCACATAATATCTAGCACCAGTGACACATGCAGAAATCCAATCCCTAAACTTTTCAGGAAGCCCCAAGGAAGCAAGAACATTCATCAAGAAGTCCCAAGAAACAGAATCAAAAGCCTTTCTTAAATCAACTTTAAGGGTGCACCTAGGGGAAAGTGATCTGCGGGAGTATCCCCTAACGATCTCTTGAGCTAAGAGTGTGTTATCGACTATACTACGCCCTTTAATGAAAGCAGATTGATTTGGCAAAATCATGTCAGGGAAGTAACTAGCTAACCGTTTAACAATGATACCAGTGATGGTTTTATAGACAACCGAGCAACAAGATATGGGACGAAAGTCTTTAGCCATACCAGTATTAGGAGTCTTAGGCACCAAGGCAATTGCTGTAGCGTTGAAAGCAGGTAGCAGAGTTCTAGACTGGAAAAAATCCCTAATAGAAGCCAGAAAATCATCCTGCACAATATCCCAAGCCATCTTAAAAAAATAAGCCGTATAACCATCTGGCCCAGGGCTCTTTTCATTACCTTGCCTGAACAAAGAATTTTTGATTTCTTCATTAGAGACCTCCTCAACTAATGAAGCAGCAGCAACACAAGGAAGCTCATACCCCAACAGACTTTTGAGAAGATCAACACCACAACTTTTAACCCCAACATCTTCAAAACCAAGCAAGTCAGTGTAAAATCTCAAAATCTCAGCAGACATTGCATCAAAAGAATCCAACCGAGAACCATCCTCAGCATAGAGTAATCTAATCGTGTTTCTCTTTCTTTTCCTCATTACAGTAGATTGAAAAAATTTTGTATTTCTGTCACCCTCTTTCAACCAATTGACTTTGACTTTTTGCTTATAGAAAGAAGCTTCAGCCACCTCAAGCTCTTGAAGTTCATTAAAAATAATCTTATCCTCTACAAAATGACAACCAGCTTGTGAAAGATTTGCAAGTTGCATCTTCTCAAGCTGGGCTCTTTTGGCCTTTACCCTGCTTGAAATGTCATCAAAATGACTTCTGTTGAACTCCCTAAGTCTTAACTTGAGCCTTTTCAGCTTAGCAAAAAGGCAAAACATAGGAGAGCCGGACACTTCTAGCTGCCAAGACTCTTTAACAACACTCTTGAAATCACCATGATTAGCCCAACAATTGAAAAACTTGAAAGGTTTGGGCATGTCAGCCTGGTTGTCCTTGAAAAAAGAAATCACAGCAGGGCAATGATCAGAAACCCCCTGAGCTATAAACTCAACAAAAAAACTTGGGAAATCTTCAAGCCATCGGGAGTTAATAAGAACTCGATCCAATTTACGTGCCAAGAAATTCTCTTCTTGTTTATTATACCATGTGAAAAGATGACCCACATAGGAGTGGTCAAAGAGCCCCAAGGAAGACAAACAGCTCCTACAAGCCTCCATTTCAGCAGTGTAAAAAGGCCCAAGCCTCTCAAAGTCTGAGCTTTCTTCATCATTAATGAAGGTATTGAAGTCACCTCCTATTAGCCAGGAGGACTCCCCCACCAAGCTTTCCACCTCTTCCAGCTGCCTCCAGAGGCACAGTCTGTCAGAACCACTGTTACTGCCATAGACTGCAGTTATAACACATATATGGCCACCAATATCACCAACAAAAGATAAAGACTGATCAAAAACTTTCAAGAAAGATATTTCCTCCAGAAAATCCACAGTCTACCGTTGTCAGAACACTCGTGATTTGTGAAACAATTACAATCCAAGGAATAACAATCAACCAACTTGCACACATTAACAATCCTCACTCGAGTTTCCATAAGGCAGATAATATCTACATTGAGTTTACCCATTCTAGCAAAAACTTGCTTTTGTTTCAGGGGATTATTGAAGCCCCTAATATTCCAGAAACATATAATCATTGAGCTGGATTAGCCTCCCCCCCAACAGCTCCAACAACAGTACCCACTGACTTATCAATAAGGTCCTTCTTCTTATGCTTCATCTCATTTAAGAGGGCAGCAACACCCATGGAAGCCACGCGGGGCTTCCTACCTCCTTCTAAACCAGCAGCAGCCATCAAAACCTAAAAACGATTAGAAGAGCTAGCCAATTGCTTTTTAGCTTTATTCTTGGTCTTCTTTTTCTGAGACAAAGCTTGCAAAGGAGGGAAATCCACAGTAGCAGGCTTAGCAGACCCCTCACTAGCAACCTTAGCTTCATTAATCAAGTCCACAACCAACTCATCCACCTGAGAATTTACCCAATTTTCCAGCTCCTTACTAACAGGTTGACCAGATTCCTGCAAAACCTCAATTCCACCAACAACGGGCATTTCAGAACACTTGTCCGCCCCACAACTCTCCAACCTTTCACCAGTAGGTTCATTAGCTACTTTTAATGCCTCTGTACTATCAACAGCAGGGATTCCAGGACAATTAACATCCCCTTTCTTCCTCCAGACCTGAATCACAGCAAGTTGGGGCATATGCTCAGGACAAGCCTTCTCACTATGCCCAAAAACATTACATCTCAGACAGCAAGGGGGTAACCAGGGGACTACAACCCTAATCGACACAGCAAAACCATCCTGCAACACAACATCTACAAATTTTGGGATCGTATCATTCACTCCAATTTCAACACAAACTTTTGCATACTCCAATCTAGTCCTGGACGCAGTCACAGAGTCCATAGACAATGGCACACCCAACGCACTGGCAATATAGCTTAATCCAGTACGTGAGTAAAGCTCCAAAGGAATGTTGTAAAGTTGAACCCATACAGAAATACGAGAAAGATCAAACTCTAAACGCTTCATACTAGGTTCCCACTTCCTCAAGATTAAAGACTTATTCTGAACATGCCATGTCCCATTATCCAAAACCCAGTCACGAGCAAATTCATAGCAAAATGAGAAAACAAACAAATTCCTACCTGCAAAACTGACCTGTACACCTGAACCCGCAAGACCCACCTTCCACAAAATTTTCACAATACGCTTCACAGAGGCTAACGGAGGAGCTAGCCCAAGAAATTACCCTACAAGAGACAATTTCCACTCCGAGATACCCGCCTCAAGGACCTCCGAAGGCGGCTGAACCGAAGGAATCAGAGACCCTTCTCGAACAATTTGGGGGAAAAACTCCAAGGTCTGCTCAGCGGTGCTCCCAAAGAGCTTCCTCCAATCCATCAAACCAACATTCATACTAAACAAAGAGCCGAGACACTCGATAATTTAAGTAAAACTTGAGGCTTAAATTTAAACGTTATGAATGAAAAAATAAGTTGGATTATTCGATCAATGAATCAATTATTTTTTGGTTCTAGACTAATGAGTCCATTAATGATGGTTATATAAAAAAAAATATACATTTATTTATGTATATTTGTTTGTATTTCTTTAGTTTAAAGTAAAACGTCAAATAAAAACGAAAAACCGTTAGCATGGCGCGGGAAAATAGGAAACCAGAATGAAAAATTCTCAACTGAGCTGATTGGATCTAGAAATCTGGACCAAACTCGAAATTTTGAGTTGAGATTACTGATTTGCTGGTTGAACTTGAAAGTTAATATAGTAGATTAGTTGTTTTATAATCGGATCGGATTAGATTCGGAAATGCTGCGGCTGAGGGCGTTTCGAGTGACCAGTGATAAGATTGTGAAGATCGCGGTGCACCCGACGCATCCGTGGCTGGTAACCGCCGATGCCTCCGATTATGTCTCCGTTTGGAACTGGGAGCATCGTCAGATTATTTATGAGTTCAAGGCCGGCGGCGTCGACCGCAAACGTCTTGTTGGCGCCAAATTGGAGAAGCTTGCTGAGGGCGATGGTTCGCACTCCATTTCTATTTTGATTTTCATTTCTTTTTACACGTTTGGTTTTGGTTTGATTTGATTCTAGTCGACGAAATTTTTCTTTAACAGCCTCCAAAGGGAAACACGCGGAGGCCATCCGCGGAGGGAGGTAATCGATTAGTAATAGTGTGCATTTTTAGCTTTCATTTTCATTCTTCGATCTGAAAATTTGAAATTGATATCTGAAACGCCGACCTTTTTTTGTTTTGATGAATCGTTAAAAGTGTTAAGCATGTGGCCTTTTTTGATGATGACGTACGGTATTGGCAACATTGGCGTCGCCGTTCCGCAGCAGTGGAGACGGCTTCCGCTGCCTATAGATTGGATTCCGAGTTTCAGGCTTCATCGATAAAAGGACAGCATTTTCTCGTCATCTGCTGCGAAAACAAAGCCATCTTTCTGGACTTGGTCACCATGCGTGGCCGTGATGTACCCAAGCAAGAGCTCGACAACAAATCGCTTCTCTGGTGAATTATCTTTCACCAGGCTCACTTTGTAAATATTAGCTCCATCGTTTTCTTTGTGTCCATATTCATTAACATAGATGGACCGCGAGGGGTCTGATAGGACGGTTAACTCTGAAAATTTTAAATTCTTGTATTATTGAGATTTTTTCTTCATATTTTCTATTGATAATATGTTTTCACTCTCTTAAAAGCACTCTGCATAAAATCTTACACCCGTCACTGTTAATTAACTAACTGGATCTGGGTTTTTTTGACAGTATGGAGTTCCTCCCTTGGTTGTCTGTTGGAGGTGGTCCTCTTGTTGTTTTTGGTGGATCCGATGGTGGTATTAGGATCCTTTCAATGATGACATGGAGGGTTCGATGTTTACTTTTTTGACATATCTAGCTAATATGTTGCTTATGCCTTTTAGCTCAAAGTTTTAGTAGATTTAAGCATGGCATCCTCATTACTTTGTTTTAAATTCAGTTTATTTTGGCAGCTTGCAGCAAGATGCTGGGGTGGTCATAAAGGATCAGTTTCTTGTCTGATGACATTCATGGCTTCTTCTGGTGAGGTGAGTTATGTTTCAAAGCCAAATCAATGCTCCTGTATATTTGTTTTGGAAATCGATGTTGTTTTACTACCAATATATATCAGAAATCAATCATTACAAGCATTAAACTGAATAATGAGTAACTCAACAACTGAATCCTTACCCCATTGCATATGGGAATAGGATTTTGTTGTTGTTGTTGTCAAATCAACTTAAACTTACTCAAATAACTAGAGAACCCACACATGGGACTCGAACCTTGAACCTCAAGCCTCAAGGTTCCAGGGCCTCATCTTTTGTCAACTCCGTCAAGGCCTCACTGGCGGAAATCCTTATTGTGAAAGAGAAACAAATTTGCCCGACCATATACAATGAGTGCAAGTTGCATATAGGCAGGGACGAATATATGATTTTATGTTAAGGGATGAATATATAAAATTTTAAGAGGGACAAACTTATAAAATTTTAGGGGTGAAAACATATTGTCAATGGAAAATACAAAAAAATATCTAAAATATATTAGACTTTAAAATTTTCAAGAGGACGATTGCCTCCACTCCTTCAGTTCATCGGTGCTTATAGGCTTATCATGATGTTAACACTTTTGGTCATAAATCTAATGCTACTCCTATCTTTCATGTCTTTATTGTGTATATTCACTTTAAATTAAATGTCGGCGCAAGACAGTCAAAGAAGGAAAATATAAAGAATGATGATTTATGAATGAAAAATTACAAGTAATTTTTTTACCCCAGTTTTGATAAATTCAGGTGCCATCTGTCATACCAGTGTCGATGCAACATGAAATTGGTATAAGTATGGAATTCTTACATGACTTGTTTACATTCAGGGATAGCTATTCAGTAAGTGAAGGCCTTTGCCCCCAGCCATTTTTTTTTTTACTTTGAACCATATAATATTTTTTTTGGATTAACTATGAAGTCCCCCACTTTTCAAACAATTATATTTTATCCTCTAAGGCTCAGACTCTGGCTCCATCCCTGTTTACATTAGGTGGTATAGCATAGAGTAAGTATATATCAAGAAGTAAAAAAAACACTCTCTGCAACTTAACATTAACTAAAAGTTTACATAGGATTCCACTTCTAGAAACACTAAAATAGGAAATCCAACATTTTATCATTCATTGTTAACCAATTTCTTCACTTGTCAGTTGTCACTGCAAATCAGCTGTCATGATGGTTTTTTGGATAATAATAGTAACACAAGAACATCACTAAAAATAACACAATAGTCTAATGAATCTGAAACCTGAATCTTAGTATCAAATTAAAAAAATGGATCCAAAGTAATTGATTTAGAGTTGGTTAAACCTGGAAGAAATATGCTGTCTACAATCAGCACCTAGTATGCTAAAAAAATTGGTAAGATTGACTGTTCCAAGTCTAGCTCCTAATATTGTTAATTTTGCTTGGTGTTACTGGATTTTGCCCCAAGTATTTTCATTAAAGTCCGGATTACTGTTTTGTCTCCGGTTTGGTGCATGTAAGTTAAAAAGCATCTAAATTTATTTTTGGCTCCCCGGCTTAATTTCTAAATCCACCTTAGGCAATAATGCTGTTATTGGATTATTATGAAATATCTTTTTATTGTTTATTTTTTCTTTCAATTGCAGGAACTTCTTGTTTCAGGTGGCAGTGACGGTGCACTTATGATTTGGGGTGAACACCAAGGTCATCATGGTTCACTAGATCTTGTAGCCAAGCAAAGCATGAAGGTTCTTCCCTTTTTGATTATTGTTTGCTTTGTATTCTTTGAGAACTTTTAGTTCCTATCTTTTATGCATATTTTCTAGATGTAACTTCCATGGGAATTTTTTTGTTCTTATGATATCAAATAGGCACATGATGGTGGAGTTGTTGCCATTGAGCTTTATAGAGTAATTGGGGGCAGTCCACATCTTATTACAATCGGTGCAGACAAGACATTGGTTATATGGGATATAAACAAATTTAAGGTTCTATACAGTCACTTGAAAAGTTTTTAACAGTTTTGATTAGCACTTCCTGTAACCGAAACTTTCACAGTTCATTCTTGTTAACTTCTCTGCTACAGGAGTTAAGGCGAATTAAACCTGTTCCGAAGCTTGCATGTCATAGTGTGGCGTCTTGGTGTCATCCTAGAGCTCCAAACCTTGATATTTTAACTTGTGTCAAAGATTCGTATATATGGTATGCTAACTTTTTGGTTTTCTCAAAGGTGCCAAATTAATAGATCCATATATCATACTTGCTTCTTTTCAGGGCTATCGAGCACCCGGCCACTTCAGCACTTACAAGACCATTGTGTGATCTGTATTCACTTATTCCTCCTCTTATAGTTGCAACAAGCAAGAAACTCAAAGTATGTAGCTTCTTTTGTAGTTTTGATCCTAGGAGTAGGACCACTATTTAGTTGTTTTTTCTTCTTCTTAATTAGTAGTTTTAGTTTAATGTTATATGTTCTTAATGCTAAGTTGAGTGTTAATATCACTGAAGCCATGAATTAGAAACCTAATGAGTTATGAAGGAATATTTTTTTCGTAGATAACAAAATGGTCTAGAGTTTTGAGTAATTTCTAATTGCTTGAACTAGAGCTCAATTAAAGATATCTGTTTTGACTATTATAAGTTTCTACGGTAGGTTTATTGCATGGTTGCACATCAATTAAAACCTCAACTTGTTGCTACTGGGACCAATGTTGGTGTTATTGTCAGCGAATTCGATCCAGGATCTCTTCCTCCTGTTACTCCTCTCCCAATGTCAGCCGAAAGTCGAGACCATTCTGCTGTCTGCATTATAGAAAAGGAATTGAGTCTGTTAAACTTTCAGCTGTCCAACATGACAGATCCATCACTTGGAAATAATAGCTCTTTATCCAATACAGTAAAGTTGACTGGAGATTCATTTGAACCATTGCGTGTGACTCAGACTAAAAAGCGCATTAATGCTCCTGTTCCTCATAATGCATATTCAGTTCTTTCAGTAAGCGGTTCCGGAAAGTAAGTATTCTTACTTTTGCTTCGATTTGATTGTTGATTTTTTGCTTAACTCAGTGACTGTTTCAACAATAAGGGTAGTAGATGATTTTTTGGATGTGGACGTACATTAAAATTTTCTCTGTTTACATGCTATTTCATCTGCAATTTTTGAATAGTTAGTTCCTCTTTTTCTTTCCTCTCAGACTAGAAGAAAAAAGAAAACAAAAGAACACTATGCTCTTGTACCAGTCAGGTTAAAGAGTGTGGAAGAAATTTCAGCTGGAATATGTTGTCCTTGAACTTTTCTACTTTAAATTGAGGCTTCATCCTTACAATCTTACTTATGAACTTCTGTGCAGGTATGTTGCAGTTGTGTGGCCTGATATTCTTTATTTCTCAATCTACAAGGTCAGCGGTTGGTCCATTGTTGATTCAGGAAGTGCGAAGCTTCTGGCTTGGGATACATGCTCTGACAGATTTGCTATATTAGAGTCCACAGTACCTATGAGAACGCCCATTATTCACAAGGGAAGTTCATCAAGAAAAGCTAAAGAAGCAGCTGCTGCAGCAGCAGCAGCTCAGGCAGCAGCAGCAGCTAACTCTGCTTCTGCTAATGTTCAAGTTCGCATTTTGCTGGATGATGGGACATCGAACTTGTTAAGGAGGTCCATAGGTACCCGCAGTGAACCGGTATCTTAATCTCCTTGCTTAATTCATCTGTTTGTTCATTTCGGTTGAAGCAGATTCAATTGGGATTCTTCAGCTCTTCAAAATTTCAAATATGAGAGATGATTTGCCGAGATGTGCATTCTTACACATTATGTTTCTTTCAACAAAATTATTTTGTTTTCTTTTAATGAGGGGAGAAATACTGGATAGATGATATTTCTCGCCGCTGCCAACTATTTTCAGAATTTTCAAAGATTTGCTGAAAGAATTATACTTCCAGGCTCCAGCATTAAATAGTACTGATAGGATTTCATATTGTTAGATTTGGATGTGTTTCTCGGTACCCTCCATTTTTGCTGAACTTCACACGGTTAGACTCCTCTTGTAACTTGTAAATTTCTCTACCAGGTCACTGGCCTGTATGGAGGGGCACTATTTGGTATTGCCTATCGAATATCTCGTACAGTTACCTCTGGTTCTTCAACAATTCACTCTATGCTATCGTCAGGATATGGAAGTAGTGGTTCTTATGATGATGGATTTTCTTCTCAGAGATCTCATGCTAAGGCAGTGCCGCAAAACTTTCAGTTTTTCAGGTGCAAATAATTGACACCAATAAGAATATTGCCTAAAAAGGCAACCTGTTACATCAAGATTTAGCTTACTCCCAGTGTTAAATAGTTGGGGTTGAAAAAAATCATGTTACTGTTCTGTGAACCTAGTTGAAGACCAGGTAGCATACTTCTTTTTTAGGATTCAAACTCACATCTAGGAGGTTCAAGACGGATTAGGTTTGCTTCAAAAAATGGCTAAAACTTTAAGATATTTTCCTCCATAAATTGACATGATTGATGTGCTTAAGGTTGAAAGTTGAAATATTGTTTATGTTGCCTAATATCCACTGTATTTTTTTTTTTTGCATTTTTTAATTTGACTATAAGAAGACAAAGATAACATATAACATAATAGTTGATTGAAGTGATAATATGCAGTTGGGAAACTTTTCAACCAGTTGGTAATCTTCTCACTCAGCCACAGTGGACTGCATGGGACCAAACCGTTGAGTACTGTGCTCTTGCTTATCAGCATTATATTGTCATCTGTACATTGCGGCCCCAGTTCAGATACCTTGGAGATGTTGCAATTGCTTATGCCACTGGAGCAGTTTGGCAAAGGAGACAATTGTTTGTGGCTACACCAACTACAATTGAGTAAGATATAGTTACTTCTTCAGAATTTTTATTTATACTAAGTTGGAATTCTTGGTTTTCTTCGCTTCTTTATTTTCCTCATTTTTGTAATGCGTTTTTCTATTGAAAAATGCTTTATGCTGGTTATAGACTATTTGAAATGGAAATCATTAAAGGAGATTACGTTTACGGAACTTTACTTATCTCAGTTGAGATTTACATTGCTTTGTTGAATAATTATTCCTTTAATTAATTCTTTAAGCAATATAATGAAATGGATGCCCCTAATCCCCGTTTTCCCGGGTTTCTGGAATGCTGTACAGCCAGAGTAGTAGTTCTGCAGTGCATATCTAATATGCTGCATTTTTCAGATGTGTTTTTGTGGATGCTGGAGTTGCACCTATTGACATAGAAACAAGAAAGAGAAAAGAGGAGATGAAACTAAAAGAGGCACAAGCAAGAGCAGTCGCGGCTCATGGAGAGTTGGCTCTAATCTCTGTAGACGGTCCCCAAACTGCTAAAGATGAAAAAATAACGTTGAGACCACCCATGTTACAGGTCAGAATTCTTATATAACTCGTTTATAAATTTTCTGTTGGTTGTCATTAGTGTAGGGTGTGCTTTGTGCACTTCCTGTCAATGTTGCCGAGGCACTACGGCACAACATAAATAAGCAAAGTGGCTTTTCCCCTTCAGACAAGGCACCTTTTGTCAGGCACGTGATTTTTGCGCCTAGGTGAATTCTTTCAAGGCAAAAGGTGCAGAGAAGTATGCTTGACTTAAATTGTCCTTTGGTTTCTTTTTTTTTTATTAAAAAGTTATTTATAGCTATTCTTTGTTGCAAAAGAAAATATCTATTGAAGTAAATACAAAATTAAATATTGTTATTGACGTACAACTTTTGTTGAACATGGAAGTGATGAACAGAAATGCACTCTAATAGCTAGCACTCAGTTGGCTTCTTTTTGCTGTAATTACTAATCTCTTATGGGACCAAGATATTGGATGATTCAGTGTGGTATGCCTTATCGTATACAGTTTGATTAAGGTTCTCTATCTTGTATCAACGTGTCTACTTGTCAGGTGGTTCGATTAGCTTCTTTTCAGCATGCTCCTTCTGTGCCAGCTTTCTTGTCATCTCCAAAGCAACTTAACGTTTTGGGGGATGTCATAGAACAAAAAAAGGTTAATGAGATAGCTGTTGGTGGTGGGGGGGTCACAGTAGCCGTTACTCGTTTTCCAACCGAGCAAAAGCGACCAGTCGGACCATTAATTGTGGTTGGTGTCAGAGATGGAGTTCTCTGGCTCATTGATAGGTAGCATGTTTTGCAACTCTGAGATATGCAATGTCTTGCTAAATAATTAATCACTCTACTATTCCTTTATAGGTACATGACTGTGCATGCTTTGTCCCTAAGTCATCCAGGCATTCGTTGCCGGTGTCTCGCAGCTTATGGAGATGCCGTTAGTGCAGTGAAATGGTATACATACACAATAAAAATATATATATATATCTTTTCTATTTCTAATCAGAAATTTTGTGCAATCTCATTATTTTCCTTTGCAGGGCAATTTGGCTTGCCAGGGAACATCATGATGATTTAGCTCAATTTTTGCTTGGAATGGGCTATGCCACTGAAGCACTTCATTTACCTGGCATATCTAAGAGGTTTGCCTTACCAGTTTTGTTTTCGGTTTCTTTTATGGTTACGGTGCTATTTTTTCACAATTTTTTCAATGCTAAGATCTATCACTCTCTTACACATACACACATGCCTTTGCATTCTCGATTGCTTTCGTATTCGCTACCTTTTGCATGCAGCTGTCTGCTCAAGAAAGTAGGGAAGAAAGTCGATGCTTGAACAACTATAACTGTTCGAGTTTACATGGATGAATCACTCTATATAAGTATAATACACTTTTGTCCGTGTTTGTGTTGATTACAGTACAGCAAGAACCATATGTTATTCTTACATTGCAGTTTGATCGATATTTCTTCGATTTCATCGGTATTCCATGTTTATAGGTTGGAGTTTGATTTAGCCATGAAGAGTAATGATTTAAAAAGAGCTCTTCAGTGTCTTCTTAAAATGAGCAACAGCAGGGATATAGGACAGGATAATCCAGGGCTTGATATGAAAGATATCCTTAATCTGACTGCTAATAAGGAAAATTTGGTTGAGTCTGTTCAAGGAATCGTAAAATTCGCCAAGGAGTTTATGGACCTTATCGATGCAGCCGATGCTACTGCTCAGGTCGACATTGCTCGTGAAGCTCTTAAAAGGTTAGCCACTGCAGGTTCAGTGAAAGGAGCTTTACCGAGTCAAGATTTAAGAGGACTTGCTCTTCGCCTCGCAAATCATGGAGAGTTGACACGCCTTAGTGTACGTTGGTGCTATTTTATTGAGAATATTTATTTTACCATATTATTCTGGGGTGATAAAATTATCATATTTGTACTTGACATTCTTGATTTGATTATTGAATTGTAAAGGAAATTCTATGTGATTGCAGGGTTTAGCAAATAACTTGATATCCCTTGGATTGGGTCGGGAAGCGGCATTTGCAGCTGCATTGTTGGGAGACAATGCTCATATGGAGAAGGCATGGCAGGATACTGGGATGCTTGCAGAGGCCGTTTTGCATGCACATGTATGACTTGGTTCATATTGACAGTTTGTTGTTCATCAAAAAATATTTTCTTGAATTCCGGCCGGTTTAAAATTTGTTGCAGGCTCATGGGCGATCGACTTTAAAGAACTTGGTTGGGTCTTGGAACAAAGTATTACAAAAGGAGGTTGATCGTATTCCGACGGCAACTACTGATGCTACTGCTGCATTTTTGGCTTCTCTTGAAGACTCGAAACTTTCGAGTTTGTCAGAAGCGCCGAAAAAACCACCCATTGAAATCTTTCCTCCTGGGATGTCAGTACTCTCTTCTTCAATTGTTATTAAGAAAACTCATTCTACAGCACATACTTCCCAGCAACAATCCTACAAACCATTGGCGATAGAAGGACCACAACCTGGTGGACCGATTGGAGCACCAATAGGTGCAGTACCTCCCAGTACATCAGCTGCACCACCAGGCACACCAATAGAACCACCACCTCCCGGTAAACCAGATGCAACACCAGCTCCTGGTGCACCAGCTGCTACGCCAAACACACCGACAGGAGCAGAACCTGCCACACCAACTTCTGGGGCACTAGCTGCAACAACAAGCATGCCAATAGAACCACCACCTGGTACATCAGCTGCAACACCAGGTATGCCAATAGGAGAACCATCTCCTGATGCATCAACTTCAAAAAAAGGCACGGCAATTGGAGCACCACATCCTAGGGCAACAGCTGCAACACCAGTTACAATAAGAGGAACACCACCATCCGACACACAAGCTGAAACACCAGGAACGCCATTAAGAACACCGTCTCTTGGTGCACCGTATGGAACGCCAGACACATCAACAGGAGCACCAACGCCTGATGAACCAATTGCAAAACCAGACATGCCAATAGAAGCACTACCTCCCGGTACACCAGCTGCAACACCAGAAACCTCAATAGGATCTCCACTTCCTGATGCATCAGTTGTAACATCAAGGACTTCAAAAGGAGTGCCACCTTCAGCTGCAACACAAGGTATGCCAAGAGAAGTAAAACCTCCCGATGCACCAGATCCTACACCCGGAAAGCCAATAGGAGCACTACCTCCAGCTGCAACACCAAGCATGCAAACAGAAGCACCACCTCCCACAACACTAAATGCTACACCAGGAAAGCCAATAAGAACACCACCTCCAGGTGCAACACCAGGCACACAAACTAGCGCACCGCCTCCTGATATACTAGATGCTATGTCAGGCAAGACAATAGGAGCACCGCAAACAACAGCACCAGCTCCCCATGCACTGGATGCCACATCAAGCAATCCAATAGGAGCCCGACCTGTCGGTGCACCAACTGCAAAACAAGACAAGTCAATAGAAGCTCCACCTTCTGCTGCACCAGGCATGCGAATAGGAGCATCACCTCTCAATGCACCAGCTGCAGCACCAGGAATGCCTATAGGAGCATCATCTCCCGGTGCACGTACTGCAACATCAGGCACACCAATAAGAGCACCATCTCCCGGTGCACCGGCTGCAACATCAGGCACACTAATAGGAGCACCATCTCCTGATGCACCGGCTGCAGCATCAAGCAAACCTATAGGATCACCACATCCTGGTGCAACGGCTGCAACAACAGGCAAATCAATCACAACAACACCTCTTGATACATCTACTGCAATACCAGGAACACTAATAGGAGCACCACCACCTATATCAAAAGCAAGTGAACCTGCTTCAGGTGATAAAGTTCCTAATACCACATCAGGGAGAAACCAACATATGATTGCTTCGGTAGAAAGCAATCCGGCTACATCTGCCAGCGATAAACCAACACCAGATGCGACTATGTCGGATAAACCGTTATCAGAGGTACCAACTGTAACACCAGGTAACCAAGAAACAAGTGTTCCAACTACAGTCCCAGAAACTGAACCACTTCCTCGATTCTCTTGAGACTGGCACATAATGAGTAATATACTAATTCATCCAATTCCAAAGAACTTTAATTTGATTTCATCTTTCATATGAACTGCTGTGATCCCGAACCAGATTGAAAGAAAAAAATATCATGAACCATTTTTTGTCTAGGCATCTATATGTATATATTTGATTTATCTGGACTTCAACTTGGCTTGTCCTAAAGTTGTAACCAAAGATTATATTTGTTCTTGATTTAGTTTTTTTCACTCAAAAGTTGTCCACATGAGTAGTTTAGTTGGTATTATATATAGGAGAATCGTGTCGATACCTCGGTCGAGCATTTATCGAACTTAATATGACTTGCATGTTTTTGAAATTTTACTAAGAATGCATATCAAGTGTAGAGCATGCAAAATGAGAATGCTATCTTATAGTTGTTTGGCTTTCTTTGTTGGCATAATACCAAAATTAACCCCCAAACGTTTATCAAAATAGTCATTTTTCTCTAAGAGGTTGATGATCATAAAAACACTTTTACATAGTTTGATTGTTTCTAATGTATGTTATCATTATTTTTGTTTGATAAAAATTATTTTCAACAACTAAATTTTAATAACATATTAAATAATTTTATTATATTAATTAAAATTTAAAAAATCAACACTTGATTTTTTGATAATTAAATTTTAATTTTAACATAAATAATTAAATTAATTTCATTATCAACCCTTTTTTATATTTTAGTTGCAAAGCCCAAATTTAATAGGTTTGAGGCCCATAAGCCCTGAAATACCCAAAAATATGTTCTTTGGTAGCGAAATTATGAACTAGAATAACAAAGACGGCAATGTTGGCAGCTCCGGCAGCCACGACTAGAACAAGAATACATGTGGGAGGTTTGGGACAGAGCGTCAGCAGCGATGATCTGCGGAAGATATTCTCCGCCGTGGGCACGGTGGAAGGAATGGACATCGTAAGGACCAAAAGCCGGAGTTTCGCATACGTCGACATACTCCCGTCTTCTTCCCATTCAATCTCCAAGCATTTTAGCATGGTGAGAAATCTTCTTAAACTTCTAGGTTACTGATTCAGAAGTTTATGATTTGATTTTTTTGTGCGATTTATACAGTATAAAGGGTGCGCTTGGAAAGGCGGCAAGCTGAAGCTCGAAAAGGCCAAAGAGCACTTTCTTGCTCGCCTGAAACGGGAATGGGAGGAGACACAATCTGAAGCTGAAGCTGAATAAGGAAGCCGTCAAGCCAAGAAATCTTCTTCAGATAGCTCCAATGGGAAAAACAAGGTTCATGGTTCCCAAAACAACCAGCTTCGGATCTTCTTTCCTAGATTATCAAAGGTTAGATTTCCTCTTCGTTTAAATTTCAATCTTGTATTGCAAATTGCTTTCTGATATCTAGGGGTGAGCATTTGATCAATTGAGTGGGGGTTAAAATTTTCGAGTTAGTTCGATTGTGGAATTTTATGGTTGAGTTTATGAAATTAGGGTTTGGTTTTATTCTATATACATATTATATGTTTTCATATTTTTCACGGACATTATACATATATCATGCAAAGTTTGGAGACTCGACTCGAATTTGAAAATCAATTCTCTAATTGTTAAAAATTTTGAGTTATCTGAATCTTATTTTATATCTAAAAAATTTTATTTGAAATTTTTTCGAGTCAAGTTTACGAAATTACAATTCGAGTCGAGTTTTTTAACATTGAGTCAAGTCTAAAGATTCGATTTTTTCGAGTCAAAAGATTCAATTTTTTCAATTTAATTTGAGTTTTGTTGACCCCTGCTGAAATCTATTGGTTAAAGAACCAGACTGTGAACACATTTTCGGACATGAGTGACCCTCTAAATGTATAAAATAATTTATAAAGATTGAACTTACTTGATACCCATTTCGGATATATATATATATATCGAACACTGACGTCCAAATTTGAGTAATATCGATGCCTCTTGGATTCAACTGGTAAGTAATAGGATCAATTCTTTTAGCATCTCAGAAATTTGCCAGGCACTACTGCATTACAAGAGGTTGCAAAGCCCGTTGGCGAGGATGCGCTGCAGTCATCTGCCAGAAATCATAGCAACATAAAGGAGGAATATACTGCTTCAGGTGTCGGAAAAGAAAGAGACTCTATTGAGAGTATTCTGAAAAGCAATCATGAAACCATCGATGCCGATAAGGATGCTTCTGTTCGGGCAGTTGAGAATTTAAGCAACTCCGAACCAGACAAAGGTTTCGGTGTAGATACTAGCACAGGGGAAAGTTGTTCATTTATGAGAAGCTCTGCTTCATTGAAGGAGTGGGCTAAAACCAAGGCCTCCCTGAAAGGGTCACGCAAGAAAAAAAACTAAAGGTGGTTTGATGTAGTAGCACCCGAGCGTCCTTGTGAAATTGTTGTTATTGATCGATATTGTGTTTCATTGGTATACATACAGTTGCAGTTGAATAACCATATGAAACTTTTGGTATGCTTTTTACTTATCAATGAAACCATATGTTGGTTTTCTTTCGATTCTTCAGTTATTTATTGACAGAAATATTTGGCGGAATAGTCTGCCATTAACCTCAACAAAAATTGAACCTTTCTCAATCATGACAAATAGTTCTAGCAGAATGAAAACAAGTATTTAAACTCCTACTTTGTTTCGGATGTTGGTTTTGTGCTGCTTTCTCCTCTATGCTGCTTTCTCCTCTATGCTGCTTTCGACATTGTTCGGACTCAGTAGTTTGAGAGCAATCGTGCTTTGGTGAACAAGTTGAAGAACAGTCGGTAATGGACTTCGCTGACCCGGATTTCTGGAAAAGGCTGACAGTGTCTGGTGAATGCAAAATATGTTTTTCATTTGGGGATGTTTTCTTATTAGCTGAAGCTGATTCAGATTTAAGACCTTCACCCATAAGCTTTTTCAAAAGCTGTCCTTGAAGCTCTATTTGCAGCTGAAGCTCCCTTTGCACCTATAAAACCCCAAAAAGCATAGGTCAAATGTGTATGTCTGATGCTTTTAGGGAGTAGGTCGAACAAGAATATTGGACATAAATACTTAAAAAAAGAGACTCGGAGCCGACTATCAAAGTCGAATGCAACAGTTAACGTAACGTTCACGCACCCTTAGCTGCTCATACAACAGCTTTTGGACTTGAACTTGCATTTGCAAAGTCTCTACCACTTGAATGTTACCGCTCGTATCTCTATATATGCCATGGAAAGATGATCAGTGCTTAATCTGTGCATGAATCAACGACTCGAAACAGGTAAGGTTGAATTTGTATCACCTTTCTATATTGTCATCACTTTGGATTATAGTAGCCTTCTTTTCTTCAACTTTGGAACTTTTATCTAACAAGTGTAAAATCGGTTAGTGCAGGTTACTCTAGAGTAACCGTGATCAGAACTTAAACTTTTCTTCGTAGAGAAGTTTGGTGTTTACTGTGCTTTAGCGCTGTAACATCCTTGGCGAGTCAATACTTCTGCAAGTAAAATACAAACGGAAGAGTCATATATGATCAACTCATATATATGAAAATATATACTCGCTTTCACGAAGATCCCATCGAATATACCTCAAAATTACCTGCAAATGGCTCTTGACATGGTAGATATTCAAACCCTCAACGTTCATGAGATTCAAAATATTCTTTGGTGTGGCACCTGTGATTTAGTAGCAAAATTTGTTAGGTTTTAAAAAAAAAGAACAGACCGAGCTTTCTCGTGATGATCAATCGAAAGACTGTTTAATCTCACTTTCAGAGCCACCAAGTTGATCCACTGCATATAAGAAAAGTTCATGGAGCTCAGGTATCCACCTTATTCTTTGTTTATTTGCAGCTACGACACTGGGATGTTGATTCATTGAATGCGTATTACAACTATCCATATTAACAGCTGAAGAAAGAAGCTTTCTTTTACATCCCAACTGATGAATCTCTGGAACTGAAGAAGCTTGTGCAGCTCCATGTGTCTCCTAATGAAGATTGGAAGTCAAATTTCGAACAAGCACATGATAATTGATCTATATGTGAGAAATCAATGCAACATGCTAGAATACATATATATTCACCTGATCAAGGCCAAGATTTTCAGTTTCATTTTCATCGATCTCGAGCTCTTTTGATAAATATTGAAGTTGCAGCTGCTCTTTCAATGTCAAACTCTGCTGTGCATACACTGAGCCTTGGGGACTACCACCAGGATTTGGTGCTGGGACATGACCAAAGGCAATGAAATCATCTATTTCCCTCGAAAGAGATGAGCAGTCGAGAGCAGTCTCCGAATGAACGAGTTGACCACTAGTTGAAACTTTTTGACAATATCTTCGGTTTCCATTGCGGTTTCCGGTATCTGAACTTAATAACATCGACGGGTTTGAACCAGTATCAAACCTACCTGTCTTATGACTTGTGTCACAAGAAATCCAAGGAACAGCATGGGGGAGGGACATCGATGCACGTGGTGGTGGTGGTGCAGGTGCTTCTGGTTGTTGGTATTGAGGAACATAAGGAGTTGGTGAGTTTCCATATGCTGAATAAAGCCCCATTGGCTCACAGGTGGGGAACTTGTCAGTAAAATAGGATCCATAGTAACTAGCTTGCATTGCTGCAAACAAAAAAAAAATACAAGGACTTGAATTTGCAGAAAAGTGACATGTTGTTCATAGATTCCTAGGACTTGTAAACTGTCAAACTCTTACAAGCGTCGGACAGAGGTATGCATCCGACACATGTATGGCTGGATTTTTCGAAGTTTTTCTTTATATTTGAAGTATACCGGAGGTCATATCTCCATATCCAAGTGTCAAACATGAAAATCAAGTAACATAAGTTAAATATATGAAGAGAGGAAATAATACCTTTGAAGTTGAAAGCTTAATTTCAGGGAGAAAACACACAGATTCCTCAGCTTCTGCTATGGGGTTCAGGATAAGGTTGCTGCATATACAGGCTTTGGTGAGTGTGGTGTTTAGGGGGCAATAATATATATATATACACAACGTTTACACATACATGCCTGCATACATACATACATACATACATACATATAAAACAATGATGAATGTGGTGATTGGTTGATTAGAATAAAGAAATAAGAAGCTGGTGCAGCTGCACACGGCTGCTGATTTCATCGGTGTGGATAGGAAGCATTGGAAATGAAGTTTCCCAGGAATTTTCACAAATAGTTTGTGGGTTGTCTTGATTGTATTATATAATCAATTATTTAGAGTAGGCTGGGATTCTAAAGGCCAAAGGGGGTGAAGATTCAGAAGCTTTTGATTGGGATTCTCCTTACAATACAAATAATAAGCGGCCATTGACGATGTTTTAATAAAAAAAGGTAGAAAATTGGAGCAATGCCGGAGGTGACAGTGACTCATAAGACGAGAATGGCGAGATTGAATCATTCAAAGGTATTTGGTCATCAGCCGTGGATCCAAAAATTTAAGAACGGGTCCGAAATTTTAATATTCTTTTCTGATTATACAAAAAATATTATTTTTTCTATTTTTCCTTAACATATTAAATTAAATTCAAGTTTTTTCTCTAGATAATGGGGACGCACTTGACCCCAGGGACTTGGTGCATCTACCCCTCGTGGCGATGGGATAGTTTCTTCATCCATGTACTCATAATCTTGATCAACCTGGTACAAGTAACCAAACCCATTTGAGTAAACATATTAGCAAATATAAATCATATAGAAAATCAACACTGATTATGAAGTGCACTACATTCCTTCCCCTAATCGAAGATTCAATTTAAGTGGTACAATTGCAGGCAAGCACCATCTCATCACCGGTAGATCACATTTGTTTAGTAACTTATGGTACAAAAAGTACCAATGCCTCACGCGTAACTATGGGATGTAATATGGAAAATAATATTACTCCCCCAAGGCTAGGTTTAGGGCAGCGAAACCAGGCAAATAATACAGCGGAATAATTAGTTAGCGAACTAATACACCTTCAAATATATTTTGGGATTTATAGTATTTATTACTCATGTAGGCATGACGAGTTTCAACAAAAAATATATATTTTATTAAAATTCGTCACGTACGAATTCCAAAACACTATAATAAATGCTATAGACTAGGATTGTAAATGAGACGAGACAGATCGCGAGCTACTCGAGATTAACTCTCGCGATCTGCCTCGGTCAAGGCTCAATAAATACTCGGATCGAATGGACTCGACTCGAACTCGAGCTCTACTCGAATTCTTAACGAGTCGAAACGAGCTACTTGATACTCAACTCGAAAAGCTCGTGAGCAGCTCGAAAATATAATATATATTAAGATTTTATTTTTTTAAAAATAAATTATTAATAATATTAATATTTATGTGTTGATTTTTAAAAAAATACAATAAGGCTTTTATGTATTTAAGGTTCGAGTTTGATTTTGAGAATTCAATCTTGTTAAGTTTAAGAATTTTTTCATTTCGAGCATCTTCGAGCTGCTCACAAGCTTCAATTCAGGATTTCGAGTTCGAGTCGAGCTTAAAAATTTTAAACTCGCGAGTTTTCGAGTCAAGTCGAGCTTCATTTCAGAGTTTTCGAGTCGAGCTCAGCAATACTCGAGCTCAACTCGGCACGTTTACACCTCTACTATATACACGATTCAATCTTGTTAAGTTTAAGATTTTTTTTTCATTTCGAGTATTTTCGAGCTGCTCACAAGCTTCAATTCATGATTTCGAGTTCGAGTCGAGTTTAAAAATTTTAAGCTCGCGAGTTTTCGAGTCAAGTCGAGCTCTATTTCAGAGTTTTCGAGTCGAGCTCAGCAATACTCGAACTCAACTCGACACGTTTACACCTCTACTATATACCCCCAAAATAAATTTCCACCAATGGTATATATAAAAAAAATTGACGTCATCATTTTTTTGTACAATTTTTTGACGTCAACATTATCGCGCTAATTTTGCCTTTAAAATAGCCTGCGTTTTCCTTAAACCTAAATCTAAAAATCTCATATTCTTATCCCGTTCTAGTTATTTTGGGTACCTGAACTAGATTTGAAGCTCCAATTTGATTTGGTATATGAACTTCTTGGTTCGAATTGATACTGTGGTTTTAACCAATTTGAACCAAGAAGACAAGGTCATGCATCAATTTTAACATTAACCCATAAAAAAATTAAGACAAAGATAAAATTAGCCCTCGACATTCATATTTTTTGTAATTTTGATCCTTGTTCTGTTTTGAGTTATTTTTTGCCCTAAACCTTTCAAAAAGAGTCACATTTAGTCCCAGGCCTAAAAAAAAAGAGTTGAGTCGCTATTTAGGAACTCCTAAATATATTTTTTCTGAAAATTTCATAATTTTAAATTATTTGTTGACGTGACATACAAGACATGTAGTTCTATGTAGGGGTGTAAACGACCCGAGTCGAGTCGAGTATTGCCGAGCTCAACTCGAACTCGAAAACTTTAAATGTCGACCGACTCGAAAACTCGCAAGCTCGACTCGAACTCGAAATATAATATTGAAACTCGATTCGAACTCAAAAATGCTCGAACTCAAAAAAAAAATTCAGGAGCTCGATTGAAGCTCGATTTTGAGCTCGATTCAAGCTCGAACTCAAACTCAAATTCGAACTCGAGATTTTTATATTACATTTAAAATATATAAATAATTTTCCCTTTAATCAACCATCATCAATACATTTTTTTATGATAATATGAACTCATTTCAGAAACTTTATAGGATGCATACAAGAGTAGTTATGGTTGTAGAATAGGTTCTAAACACATAAGAATCTTTTAACATGATGGAATCTGATAACAATTATAAATATTACATACATATGTTTACCTACATATATACATACATAGATATATATGATCTATAATAAATTATATTAAACCTGGTTTTTTTCCGTTAGTCTTCCAGAAGTGGACTACTTTGTTGGGTTACAAACATTTGCTAAATCGGTAACTTCAATTAGGAAAACTTGTCCAGAAAAAGCAAAAGATGCAGATCAAGGAGTGCAGATTTTTTCCCTTTACTAGAGGAACGCATTGGTTCAGTTTCCACTTTCCAGAAACTATGCCAGTTACAAGCATTTGGTTATGAACATGCATATGCACATGAATGCAGGCTGAGGTGAAAAAGAGAGGAGGACCTTTGAGACAAGCAAAGCAGCAAGTTGTCTCTGATGCTGGCCAAACTCCTCATCTTCATACAAGCTTTCTCTGAAAAAAGCAAGCATAAGATCAATATACCCACCCAAAACTCATTAAGTACTCTACTTTGAATTAGAATCGCTCCCATTTATAGGCCCACTAACCTATACAAACTACCCATGAAAGAAATAAATCTTGCCATAATAAATTTAAATAAGCTGAAAGCATATAAGTGAAGATAAACCTAATATCCCCATCCCTATTTCTCTCCAATCCCCGTTGTTTTTATTCACTGTAAAGTTCAATTTCCTAAGTGAACAAACTATTAACTACATTACAAAATAATTGCTTTTAGTTCTTTCCAATCTGAAACTTATGCAGTACATATAGCTTAACTAAAGGAATCAATTATCACATGCAAGAATGGACACAATATAGCTGTTGAATCCAAATTTTCACCCTCTTCCAGCTAAATAAAAAATCGAAAACGGAAAAGTTGAACCATGCTAAATCTCCAAGAACAAGTAAAACAGCCCAAGCTTACCAAAATTTGAAATTTACCCACTTAACGTACTGAATGTCAAACTAAATTGTCATTTTTCTAGTGTAACTAAATCAAAACATCAAGAATAACTTTCTTCACTTCGTTTCATCCAATTTCTCACCTACGAATCAGAGCAAAACAACCGACACCTAAACCAAACTAAATAAAAGAAAAATGCCAAAGAAAAAAACTCAGGCTTACATGATAGGAACGCTGGTGGAGATCTCGGGCCAAAATTGATCAACGAAGCTAATTAAATTAGAAAGTGCGTGATATTTCAACTGAGGATTGCACTCGTTAAGCATCTCCAATAAGGCGAGGGGAAGTTCTAGCCAGGGAAAGTTTGAGGGGAAATGAATTAGGTAAGAGTTTTTACCCTAGATATCCTGCTTTTTGTGTTCCTTCAATTTGTGCTTGTTTTCAATTGTGTCTTGTAATTTTAATTATTTGACATTGTAATCTCTTAGTTGGTTTGTTTAATTTAATGAGTAATTTCTACTTTATATGCCTATTTTCAGTTTTATATTGTTTTGGTCCTTCATGGCATTTTTTAAATATGAGTTTAAGTTATTAATAGTAGGTTTAATCTTATATTGTTTCATCTTAATGTATGTGCATTTGCATTTCATTCGTATGCATGCATGTATCATGTAAGCACATTTTAGTTTAGGTAATAGTTTAGGAGTCGCATAACATCATTTTGTATAATTTGTATGTTACCTTCATGTGCATAACTAAAATCCTAAACCATAAACTATAAACTATAAACACTAAACTCTAAATCATAAACCATAAACCCTAAACATAAACCCTAAATCATAAACCATAAAACCTATCACATAATTACTTGTGGAGTGCCATTAAGTTGTCACTTCAAAGTTGTTAAAACATCAATATTTTAGTCAGCATTTTTGTTAAAAAAAATGGGAAAATGTTCACGTGCGGCGCTTTAATATATATCTAAAATAATACGTTATCAGTTTTGTTATTATTTTAAATAACTGATATAGGTAAACGTGGTAGAAAAAATTCGGTAAAAAATAATGTTTTAGGTAGCACTTAACCGAAAACATTATTTTTTTAACCGGATTTTTCTACCGCGATTACCTATATCGGTAATTGATAATAATAACAAAACCGGCCTAATAATGTTTTCAGTCATTTTTTACCCATTTTATTATTTAAATTAATAATAAAACCGGTAACGCTTTTTTTTAACCGTATATTAGGCTGCAGCACCGTAGAACTTCCCTAAAAAATGTAATTTGACTTTTTTTTAGATTGAGTGTCAAATTTAGCTAAAAAAATCACAAGGGCTAAATTGAAAAAACTATAAGCGTTGAAAAAATTAAGCCATAATAGTGATATATTCTATAATTTTTATCACGTTAATAATTCGTGTTATGTAGCTTCCAACAAATTCCAACATTTATATATTGTCCACGTTATTTGTTCATGTTATGTTGGGAGCTGAAACTGTGTTCTACTTACTTTTCTTCAACCAAGATCAAGTACAGAATCCAAATTTTGGAAGTCAACCTAAACAGACGAGACATATCATAAGTTTCTTGAGATCGATTCGGTCAAAACTCGAATGGACTCGACTTGAGTTCTTAATGTCAAAACAAGCTACTTGCTACTCGATCTAAAAACTCACGAGCAACTCAAAAATATAATATATTTTTTAAAATAAATTATTAATAATATTAAAATTTGTGTTGATTTTAAAAAAAATACAATATAATTTTTATGTTTTTAAGGTTTAGGTCCGAGTCTTAGTTTGAGACTTTAATTGAATAAATTTAAGAATTTTTTTTTCATTTCGAGCTTTAACGAGCTTCAATTCATGATTTCGAGTCGAGCTTGAAATTTTAGGCACGTGAATTTTCGAATCAAGTTTAATTCCAGCTTTGTTGGTGACTTTCAACAATGATACTTACTTCATCTTATAGAATTTGTCAACTCTGCATCCGTCCATACCCACCAATTTGAGATAAAAGAAATGATTTCTTCAATTCTAAAATTTTTTGTACCCTATCAATTGGTTAAATTACAAATCATGTCCTATAAAATGTTAGAAATTATAAAATTATCTCTAAAATTACACCTAAATTCATAATG